TATTTTCAAACGAAATTTTTGGATGAGATCTTCTTTTAATGACACGTACGCAGGAGTTTGCTATCGATTTCATTTACTATATAAACTTCTTTGTCTTTATAATTCGTATCAGTATTGTAGTATTGTTCATGATAGATTAGTCCACCCATGTTTTGTTCGAGTAATCGATTTGAAAATAAACAAGGGACTAAGCAGTAATTTTTTGGTTATAAACTTGGGCCGCATAGTAAATTATAAAGCTTTGCATGCACAGCTGTCTGTGAATCGTTTGTTTTCCTGTACCTTCGTTTATATATATACGCTACTGATGCAGTATTAGTGACGGTTGTCTGACGTGATGACATTATGCTGCAGTGGTTCGGTAACATCGTCAGCATGGCATGGTGGGACGATCTATGGCTCAATGAAGGCTTTGCGACGTACGCCTCTGTGTTGGCACTGAATCATATCAAGCCGCAATGGAAAATGGTAATCCGCCATCCATATTGACCATCTGTGCTGTGAGCAATGTCGAATACGTGCTTCTTTTAGATATATCGCTATTCGACAGACTAGAGATAGTTCCTATTGTGATATGTATCGAACAGTGATATACATGACACGTGGATATTCGGCAGGCGACAGATATCCACATCTAAGTGTGGCTTTAGGCCTCCTCGTCCCCCGCCGGTGGCCTCCCGCCCCCGTCAGCTCACTCCGACAATAACCCTTCCGCAACGAAAATAGTTCTTTTTGTTTACGTATTTTAGTAATGCTAAAACAAGTTACCATAGTCTATGCCGATTGTATTACCCATAGGCATAGATATAGCATTAAATAAGAAAAAACAAGACAAGCGTCAGTGCAGCACTCGGTAAGTTATTAGTAGCACGTTATAGTGTTGCCGGCGTTATATTTGTATGACGGGGGCCTAAGCCCACTTATATAGAATTGTAATAATAGTGTATTATGGGGGCCCAAGGCCACATATATAGAATTTGTATGACGGGGGCCTAAGGCCACCTATATAGTATTGTAATAATAGAATAGTGTATGTTGGGGGCCCAAGGCCACATATATAGTATTTGTTTGACGGGGGCCTAATGCAACATATATAGAATTGTAATAATAGTGTATGATGGGGGCCCAAGGCCACATATATAGTATTGTATATGACGGTGGCCTAATGCCATCTATATAATTTGGAGTATAGTGTATGCTGGCGGCCCACAAAGGCCACATATACAGTATTGTGTATGAACGGGGCCTAAGGCCTTCTATATAGTAGTGTGTGGTAAGCCTTAGTTGTAAGCTATACCGCATCCAGAAAAGAAAAATTGGCTGCATCACTTGCACAGTGTATTATTGCGCAAGCGGGGCCCTAGGCCCCCAGTGGCTTAAGGCCACACCTGGATGTGGATATCTGTTGCCTGCATACGCAGCCGGCACCTTACACGCAAGTTCTTCCTCCTATTTCTTAAATGATGTCTACATATAATATGTTATTATATAAATCTATGCTAGAATAACTCCTCTTTATTTTAAATGCATAATCTTTGGAAAATACGATTTCTCTCGGGAGATATTGCGCATGCGCGCGCACCGTGTTAGGCGTGAAGTGCCGTCTGAGGGAAACGTCATAATATAGCTCTCGCTGAGGGAGAGAGGGTATGGGAGACTGAGGAAAGACTACAGGAAAAATAGCTGGGGGCGGTAGAAGAAGAAGGAGCCTGAGCGAGGGACAGGGGACGCAAGGGGAAGGACGCGAGGGCATAAAGTAAGTGTTTTGTAAGCTACATGCTAGGGCGCTCTCCTAATTATAAACACAAGTCTACAGATAAAAGTTTATAACTGAAATCTATGCTGAGATACCCCCTAACCATTTTAAATGCATATTCATCACAAAA